AGCTATTTTATGTTTAGCAGCTCTTCTTTTAAAATATAGTCTATATAGGCAAATATATGTTGGTGTGTTATCGGAAACAGAGACGTTGTCTTTTAACCATTAAACTACATCTTTAGAGATTATTTTGTTTTCGTCGCTGTTAAATTCCTTGTTTGTAACTATACAAAATGTTGCATTTAGTGGAATGCTAAGCGCTTTTTAAAAAGGTAGATCCAGCAGGAATATTTATAGAGTTAATTATATATTCTTTTACTTATGTATACTTGTAAAATATACTTCAAACAAGCTTCTCTGACGAAATCCAACTATTATCTATGTACGAGAGAAAAAACTATTATCTATGTACAAGCAAGCCACGAAATAATAAAAAATTAAAAAAACCATAAATCGCGAGTTTTTGATTTTTATGTACATACAAATACCATAATGAATTCCTTTTTGGGAAAAGATCAATTACATATTAGGAATTTATCTGAATACAATATGTAAAAATTGTTCTTATCAATAGCAATAATTTTAGCAGCACAATTTTTGGGTATTCTCTTTGGTGCTTAATACAATGGAGGGGACATTTATTAGTTTTCGGAAATTTTCCCCACCCACCCCATGATTATTAAGATCCCCCTCGTTTAATAATAATGACTTGTGTTTAACTAGACAACATCACAAAACTTGAAAAAAAAAAAAAATTCAAAAAAATAGTGAAATTACGCTATAAAAATTGTTCAAAATTTAGGCATTCGTTTATTTCTTGTCATAGTATAAAATTTATGTAAGCATATTAAATGTTATTGAATTATATTGAAACAGTTGTAAAAAGATGTGAATTTAACCTCAAGCCAGACTAGAATAAAGTTGTTTATTCATGTTCTTTATAAAATTCCCACCCACCCGCTTCTTAAGACTCCCCTCCCCCTTCCCCCTCCTTTCTGTTTATTAGATCTTGCCTGAAATTCCCACCATCTCCTTTTATTCCTAAATTCCCCTCCCCCTCCCCTTCTTGTAATAAGCACCCGAGAGTACGTTACTAGCAATATAGTTCTGTTCATTTTGATGTTATATGAAAGAGTATTTGTACTCTCTCACAGTTTTTTTTCTAAAACGGTGAACAGTCACTATTGAAAAAGTATGCTATATTTGATTAAGGTTGCTAAGAACTAATTTGTGGCCGCTTTTATGAAAAGTACATGCATCAGAAATGTTTAATATTGGAAAAAAGAACCCTTGAGAGACTTGCGATATTCAGAAAATGCAATTATTTTTTCTTGTAGAGTTATTTACTAAAGAAGTTATAGTTTATTGCTTGAATTTACTATTACCCCATTGACAAACTGCGTCTGAGGTTGTGACTGTCCAGTCACCAATTCGCTGCGTTGATATTTATTCAATTGAAGTTAGTATTGCATTGGCGTAGGCCGATCGATAACAAATTGGATAACAAATCTGGAATGTGTAGTAAAACCATATAAAGTACAATATGATTATAAATTTGAGATCAGGGTACAGATTTTCACTCTGTTTCATAATGTTAACATTATTATTCAAAGTGATAATCTATTCTCTGATCTCAAATGTAACAATATGAACTTACAGACAGATGAGAGTGTACTACATTAAAATACAGATAAGAGTGTACTACATTAAAATACATTCTGACAAGACGCATTGCTTTATCGGTCAAAATACTACGGGAACATAAACTAATAAATTATCTTTTAAATGTTGCAATTTAATGGCATTAATTTAAATCAAGAATGTTTGGATATTAAAGAAAAGTAGCGAAATTTTATTGCAAAATGAAAAGTTTGTTTATATAAAAATGTATATATATTTATTATATTAACAATATATATATGTATATATATATATATATATATATATATATATATATATATATATATATATATATATATATATATTATATTACTTGAATACAATGCTCTTAAATTTAAAAATATTTTTTTTTATTATCGCTGTTTTTTATTAGTTTTTTTTTGTTGTTGCTATTATTGTTGGTGAATTTATATTTGTTAATTTGGTTTTAACTATTGTTTTTAATTACTTTCTTTAAATAGCTTTCTTATATCATCTCTATATACTGCTTGTTTAACTATTATTTTTATTATTATAGTTAATATTGTTGTTGTTATTATTATTATCATTATTACCATATTACATTAATTAGCTTCGTGCCGCTTTGTCAATATAACTTTTTTTGTTATTTTTATCCCTTCTTCTTTCTATGTATACAGTATTAGACAAAACATTTGCAACCAACATCGAACAATGCTAAAAAGTGTTCCTAATTTTACATGTCTTAAAAACGAAAACAGAAGTTTCCAGAAGCATACAGAAGCTTCCAGAAGTTTCCAGAAGAAGCATCTGGAAGCATCCAGAAGTATCCAGAAACATTCAGAAGCATCCAAACGCATCTAGAAGCTTCCAGAAGCATCGAAAAGAAACATCTAGAATCTTCTAGAACAGGTTCACACAGGTTCATCTTACTGTATCAGAGACATGTAAACTGACATGTAATTCAGTCAGTATATGGAAGTCAATCAGTCAGTATTATCAAGACAGTTTATCGAAGCGAGTTTTATTTTAAGTGTTTTATCGAAGAACATCAATACAAGAAATGAAATACAACAAGTGTTTCATTACATCAATACAGTCCACATCCAACCAAGACGTTGTGTTCCACAGAGCATTATTGTATCATCACAAGGTAAATGTAACACGGTAAGCCTTAAGAAGCGCGATTATTTATTTTTACTATTTTTATGACTTCAAGTGCAAAAATGGCTCCCGACAGTCTTAGATTAGAACTAAGAAAGAAAATTATTGGCGATTACGTAAGTGGAATGTCAAAGAAAAGTATTTGTGATAAATATCGCGTAAAAAAATGGACTGTATCAAGACTATGTTCCTAATATCGTTCTACGGGGAAGTTGGCAGCAGATAACAAAGGTGAAAGACCGCGTTCCACCACTTCTAGAGAGGATTCTATGATCGTCAGATCCGTCAAGAAGGATCCCTGGATATCATCAGTCAAGATACAAAAGCAATTACAGCTGCCTGTATCGGACCGAACAATCAGACGACTTGCTGTTGAACCCCGATTGTTTTCTCGACGCCCTGCAAAGAAACCGCTGATTTCACTAAAGAACCAAAAGAAAAGACTCCTGTTTGCTACATCTCATATTGACTGGAATGTGCAGAAATGGCAAACTGTCCTGTTCAGTGATATACTGAACAGGACAGTTCGCCATTTCTGCACATTCTAGTCAATATGACGTTACTGCCATAAGACCGTGAAGCATTGTGGAAGCAATGTAATGGTCTGGGGGTGTTTTTCTGCTAAAGGTCTAGGTCCTATACATCGAATCGATGGAATAATGTACCGTTTCATGTATAAAAATATCCTGAAAGATGTTATGTTACCTCATGCTGAATGGAATATGCCAATAAAATGGGTTTTTCAGCAAGACAACGATTCAAAACACACTGCAAAAGTAGTCAACAGTGGTTTTAAGACAACCACCTATTGGTGATGGATTGGCCACCTCAATCTCCGGATTTCAACCCTATCGAAAACCTGTGGGAGATCGTCAACTGCAGAATTAATCGTGAAGGTGTTTGTAATAAGGATCAACTGTTTGAACAAATCCAAAAAGCCTGGGCAGCGATTCCACAAAGTTTCATTGATCACCTGATCGAATCTATGCCTCGAAAATGCAAGGTTGTGATCGACAACAAAGGATTCGCCACGAAACATTGATAGCCAAATACGGCTTGGTCAACATTTTGTGGAGTTGCACTTGTTTTCTCCAGATGGAAATCAACTTTTTTTAATACTTTTGATTAATTTATTAATTTTCGTGTACAAATAATGAACTTTGTAATGAATAAAACTTGAAGAACGTTGTCTCTAAACAGTTACATAGTTATTTCTCTAAATTGAAAAAATGCAGCACTTTTATATAAGAAACTAAATTAGCATTATTTGGTTGCACTTGTTTTGTCCGATACTGTATATATGTACATATAATTTAACTTAAATTATTTTGTTCTAGTATTGCATACTTTTTTTTTCTTGTTTGTTTTTTTTTATTTTATTTTTTTTATTTTTGTTACTATTCTTACTATTCTTATAATTATTGTGTTATTATAATTATTATTATTATCAATATTACAATAGGGTAATTCCATGTCAAAACAACAAGTCGAAATAACCCACCATCTTAGAAATACTTGATTTTTGGCACAAATGCAGTTAATAATGTCGTTAGTAATAATCATAAATAATTTGGAGTCAATTTCATTATTTTAAGAATTATGGGTCTTTGAAGTTTAAGAATTTTTAAATTTTTTTATTCTCCGCTCTCTTAGCAACGTCTATAGCAACACTAAAATGTTAAAGTATACACAGTTACATTAACCATTCGTTTACAAAATTTAATAGGTATAGAAACTTTTGAATAAAGAAATCAAAAATCATTACTTTAAGTTATTAGATCTTATATTTGATTAAAAACTTTGAAATGCAAACTGGACTTTTAACAATAATTTTTTAGTAAACATGTCTAGTTTAAGATTAATTGCAGAAAAGGTATTGATCTATTCACTTTAAATCTTTACAAAAATAGTTTATATATAAATGCCTGTAAGAGGCAAAAATTATTTCATTGTTTTTTGATGCACATATCTATTTTATTATTGTTTTATTTTTGCAATTTTATTTTTGCATTTTTATTTACCGTTTTGGTTATAATCTCCATTTAAAGATTATAACTAAAATAATTTCTCAAAAAAAAAAATGATTTCTCACATAAGTATTATACTCAAATCTTAGAACCAGTTGCTCAGTTTAATTAATTAAACAAGAAACCAGAAATTCATTTTTATTTTAAATTAAATAAGTCTAATCATATGATTACACTTATTTAGTTTAAAATAAAAATGAATTTCTGGTTTCTTCTTGTGTTAATTAAATGGAACAATTGATTCTAACATTTGAATTTTGATTATAATACTCATGCGAGAATTTATTATTTATATAATAATAGTTTTAGAAAAATAAAATATTGAAATTAAATATTTTTATAATGGCAACATCACAATGCTCAGTTGGATTGATTTTAAAATCAAATCGTCACAAGTTAACATTTACAAACCACATTGGAATAAACTTTTTTCAAGATTTAGCTCCAGATGAGCAAAATTTAGTTGTTGGTGTTTCTTTTGTTTTGATTATTGACTTATGTTTTCATCATCAAAAGTTTTATGTTGAGAAGTTCCCTGTGTTTCAGAATAAATTCTGTGATCCACTGTTAATTAAACAAAGTACCGTGCAAAGGTTAGTAAAGCTTGTCATAAATTTTATAATAGTAAATTTGTGATAATTTTAAGTTCTTTATGTTTGTTAATAGTTGGCACATTTTACTTTATTAAGTTATATTTTTTAATTTAGAATCTCTCAGAGAAGTCAAGAACTATAAGCTTTAAACAACAGGATCAATATTGTACCTGGTCAAAAAATTTGTACAAATTGGTTAGTCAAATTAAAAGCTTCCACTGAAATTAATACTGATAACATTAATATTGTTGATGATTACACAAATGAAATTATAAATAAAGAAAACATATTTAGTGTTCAACACGAAGCTGATATAAATAAAAACAGACAAGAATTTTCTGATTGTCTCAGTATAATTGGTGTGTCACCAGTCAAGCTTCACAGAAAGCCATTTGCAAATCGTATGAGTATTGGGAAAAAAAAAATTAAAACTACTTTTGTCAAGCTTAAAAGAGTTATTTGTCTAATTTAATATTCTATATCCACATGTAAAGTTAGGTTTTTCAAAGTTTTGTGTTTTAAGACCTAAATGGTGTGTTTTGCCAAACTCATCAGGAACCCATTCTGTGTGCGTTTGTATCTACCATCAAAACATGAAGTTAATTCTCCTACTCATTAAAATTGATTACCACGAACTATATAAATTTATTGTTTGTGATATGCAAAACAAAGAATGCATGTTACATCGATGTAAACAATGTCCGAAAAATACATCTAAATTAGAAGAAAAGCTATTCAAACTAATAAGGCAGTTTGAAGAAGAAGATACTATTGAATTTAACCAGTGGGTTACTACTGATAGATCAGGTTTAGTTATACAGCTTGCAACCATACCAGATTATGTAAATATGGTGATGGAAAAACTAGTCAAGCTAACAACGCATTCATATATTTCTAAATGTCAATCTAAATATTTAAAAAATATAGAAAAACTCCCATCAGGTAGCGCAATAATTCTAGGAGATTTTGCAGAAAATTATAGTTTTGTTGTGCAGGATTAAGTACAAGGTTTCCATTGGAATAATCTCCAGTGCACACTTCATCCAGTGGTTGTGTACTATAAAGAAAATCAAGTGTTACATTCCACTTCATATTGCATTATATCAGATGATAACAATCATGATGTACCAATGATTTACGAGGTACAAAAATCAATTATCAATAATCTGAAGCAAAAAATACCCAACATTGTAAACGTGGTCTACTTTTCAGATGGCTGTTCATCTCAATATAAAAACTGCAAAAATATATTTAACCTATGTCAGCATAAATCAGATATAAACTTTATTTTTATTTCAAGTGAAAGTTTGATAGAAACAAGATTATTACAATCTGAACAATTTAAAAATGTAAAAACAATACCAGGAACAAGAGACTTTCATGAATTTGTTCCTGTATGTCATAATGAAGTTAAGATGAAATACTGCAGTGATGACACTATCCCTATCTTGACCTACAAGTTTAAAAATTGCGAGATGCAAAGTGATGTGCAAAATTGACATGGAATTTTAATTTATGCACCAACATGGCCCTTGAATCTTAAAGATATTTTCTTGCTTCCTTTTATCAATTATTACTTTGAATCGACAGTTTGCTTATGTCTATGATATGTATATGACAATATTTTGCATTTATTAAAAAATATTACCTAATTTTGTTTTGTTTTACAGTCCAAAGAAAAACAAAGAAAATTTGAAGTTCAATAGTTTGTATAAAAATGTATTAATTCATAAAAGTAATTCAAAGAGTTTTGATATTCAAAATTGAGTTTATTTATAGACATGTTATGGATATTGCAGTTTTACACCTAAGTGAAAATACTTCTTATTTTTTGACTAGCTTTGAGTGAAAATACCTGTTTTTAGTATTTAAATATTTTTAATTGAGTTTATCAAATATCCATATTGTAGTTTTACACATAAGTAAGAATTCTTACTTTCTGGTTCTGCCTAAACATAAGTACCAATCAATCTTCTGTCTCAATCTCAATATACTTTCAACCAAAAATGAAAATTAAATTGTTTAGATTAGTAAGTCAAAAAACAGCTCAGTTTTTTTGTTTTTTTTTAGATGTTTATATATACTTTAAGATTATGAAGTTTGGAAATATATAAATCATAACCTTTTCTGTAATTCTTTTTATAGTAAGCATGTTTACTTTTCAATTTTATTAAAAAAGCTGATTTACTCTTATTGACTTATTAATAAATAAATAAAAATATTATTTCTTGGTATAATTTTATGGTTTAGCATCTAATAATATGTGGAAAATTTCAAATTATGAAACAATATAATTAAGGTAACAACGTATGTATTATAATTTACTTGTTACTAAGGACGTTGCTAGGGGAGCATCATGAGTAAAAATGTTACTAAGTTTTAATATTTAAACGAGCATAACTTCTAAAATATTCCGATTTGTTTAAAACAACTTTGGGGAATTCTTTTTTGCCTAGTTGAGTATCTTTGTTGCAAAAATCAAGTCATTTAGAGATAGTGGGTTATTTTTTTGAATTTTTGTTGTTGTTTTGACATGGAATTACCCAATAATTAGTTATACAGTAGCACAATTAGGGGGATTTCCATGGTGCCCGGAAACCCCTTTTTAAATTGTTAAAAAAATTAAATTTTGTCAACCTTTAAACGAGATAACTATAAAGTGTAAATAATAATATAAATAATTTGAAATAAATATAAAAATGACTTTATGCCAAAAAAGTAAATATGTAATATATAAATATGCACGCTTTGGGTTTCGCAAAGTAAAAACCAAAGATTCATAAAATTGGAAACCCCTTTTTAGAAATCCTAATTGCGCGGCTGTTATATATTTATAAAAATTTTTTTTTAAGGTGTTTACTTGAGATTACTATTTTTAAATATCCGTGAAAATTTATTTTCAGAATATATATGATTGATTGATGATTGATTGAATGATATCCGCTAATAAGATTTTGTTGGCTTAGCGTAGGAACAGCCACAAAAAGTCACAAAGACTACTTCAAGGTAGCGCCCGTTATTGACCAACGTATTTGCGTACCGAAGTAATACCCAAGCTCTGAGTTAGCGGTGACTGGATTTAAAGTCGAACCGCACAACAGTCTGGGTTTTTAACACTTTGCTTCCACTAACATGTATAAATGATTCTTATACTTTTATTTTTCCAGAAGAGGAGAAGAAGAGGGGGCGATAATCCTCTTCTCTAGAGGAGAAGAAAAAAAGACAATTTTATTCATTTCTTTTTTATCAACGAATTGAGCGATTAATAAAAGGTAATTCGTTAAAATAAGGTTTAATCAGGACAAAAATTAAGAATTTAAATTTTTTGATCTTCTAAAAGAAAAAAACAAAACTAATGGAAAGTTATTCTCATGATCAGAATATTTCTTTCTCTTTATTTTTATAACTAAATATTACTTTATACCTAAATATTTAAGATTTTAAATATTTAAGATTATAAATTTTTTTCATATAGTTATAATGATTTGATTTTATTTTAATTAAGAAACTAAATTATGAATTATTTATTCATGTTAGTGGAAGAAAATAAATAAATAAAATAGGTAATACATTAGGTTTATAAATTTTTAAAATATTTAGGAAAAAACTAGATAGATTAACATATTTTTGTTTGACTCTCATCTAATCGGGAACGGCATTAACAAAATCCAAAAATACAGAGACTTAAGCCCGTTCTCCATTCAGAACTTTTTGCGCTTTGGAGAAGCGGAAAAGTTCTTTGAGCATGCGCAAACAGTTTTTTTAAACCCGTTCTCCAATCAGAATTTTTTGCGCATGCTCAAAGAACTCTTCCGTTCAAATAGTTCTGAAGGGAGAACAAGCTTTATTGTTCGTAAAGCTATTTAATCGAGGGGTTTAAACCCTCAGAATGTTATGTGCAACACCAGCTTAACAACTTATTAACTTATTTATGGACAGACTGATTCGATTTAGTGGAGATGCTAAATTGGTGAAATCGGGTGCGCATCAATATAAATCTTTATATTGATGCGCACGTTTCATTCTACCCATGCTGGTTAACTAAAATTCATTTCTACAATTTATATGATTTTTAAAATTACTTTGGATCACAAAAATAATTTTTTATAGTATTTTATAAAGGTTTTTAAATTTTTTTTATCAGATCCGACATTTTGCGCTAACCAAATAAACGGTATGTTTGCGAACCCATTTAACTGCTATGGCTATTATGAATGCATCAATGGTCGTACTATACCAAGAAATTGCGACTATGGTTTGCGTTTTAACGGTGTCTCTTGTGTGGATGCATCTCTTTATGTTTGTCAATAAACTTTGTCAATACACCGTCAGATAAACCTAGGTAAAAAAAATACTTTAAGTAAAATAATTATGTAGTTTTATATTTATAAATCATAGTTTTTGATATTTAACAATTTTTGTAACTTTTATCATATTTTTAAATAAAAACACAGATATATGTATATATACTTTTGAAAAGATGCACATGTATAAACGCATTAATGTTTATACAAAAGTTTATGCACTTATAAACCTATGCTATAATTAAATAACGCTCTTTACGCTGTTGTTTAGATTATATTATTAATGTAATATGTTATTTGTTCACTAAGCAGCATTTGAATGTGTTTTTCAAAACTGTAATATGTAAAATATATTTACAAATAAAAATTACTATTAAAAAAACGTTAAAAAATTGATGTTTTACAGATGTTAACGTAAATAAATTTTTCAAATAATTACTTAGATTAGTAAAAAACGTTTTCGAATCCCATAAAAAAACAAAATATGATAATGTATTGCGGCTTAAACATGCGACAATACAAATGCGACAATACGTCTTTCTACATTTTCTTAAATTTCCGACTTAACTAACCTAAATAAGTTTAGCCAATATGTGTTCAATTTGTCTCAATTAAAAAATCGATTTTTTTAATATATCAACTTGATCTTTAATTTGAGACCATTGAAACTGAAACCAAAATTACACAAGACCTCAGATGAGATTTTTTCTGAAATTTAATAAACGGGGGAGGAGGGGTACGATAAATCCCCCCCCCCCTCCCCCTCGTTTATTCGTCATGCAAATTATGCATGTTCAAGTCAAATTTTCTAACAGCTGTTAGGATAGGCTTAGGCTGTTTTATCATAATTTCAATAGGATTTAATATGCTGATATAAGTTTTATACTTTGCAAAGTATAAAACTTATATTCAGCATATTAAATCCTATAATTAAAACCAAAGCTTTGTTGAGAAATTAACTAAAAGTTCATTTTTAGCAGGGCTGTGGAGTCGGAGTTGCGACAATTTTAGTAAAATTCGACTCCAATAGTAAAATTTCTTGGTATTGCACGTGCATGTACAAAACATTCAATTGACCTTATGTTCATACTAAACCTCAAAGAATGTTTCATAAAGTTGTCAAAAAAAAAATTTCAACTTATCGCGCAATATTTTTTAAAGAATTCAAAGAATTTTTCAAAAATTTTGCTTTGGAGTTGTAGTCGGAGTTGTACTCAAATAATTTCAACAACTGGAGTCGGAGTCGTTACTTTTTTTACGACTCCACACCCCTGATTTTTAGCAAATCGAGATTTAATAGATCGACAGTTTGTAAAACCTGTTTACACTGAAAGTTTTTGTTTTTATCGGTGAATGAAATTTCAAATTTTTAAGGCCGATTTTCACTGAATTTTTTAAAATAAAATAATTAAATAATATGGTGTATCATATTATTTAATCTAAATAATATGATACACCATATTATTTAGATTAAATAATATGATACTAACATCATCATTCAATGCATCTTAGAACGGTAGCCATTTTTAAAACTGACATAGACCTTTGAACTTTTTATTTTTTTTTGAACTTAGAGTTATTTTTGAATAATCAATTTCATTAGTTTTAATAATATAACGTTTTTAACATCCAATATAACTTGCTGTTCAAAGATAAAATTCTTTTCATCAAAAGACATCTTTAATGTTTGCAATTGGGGTATTACCACTTTCCGTTATTAAATGACTGTAACTGTTAATTTTTTTTTTTTTTTTATTGGTCTACAAATGACTAACAACTACACTTTATCTTACTTCTTTATCTTACTAACGCGCTATATAAATATATTTTATATATATATATATATATATATATATATATATATATATATATATATATATATATATATATATATATATATATATATATATATATATATATATATATAATATATTTATATATGAACTTGCCGATCACTCAGTATCTCAAAGGGTTCCTCCAGAGTGGTGGAGCGCAAATGTATATATATATATATATATATATATATATATATATATATATATATATATATATATATATATATATATATATATATATATACATAAAGGAAATAACACATGAATTGAAACATTTCGCAAAAAAATGTATAACGTTTTAAAATAAAAAATGTTAAAAAACATATATCATGAGCTAAACAATAACAAACCAGTTATATACTAATCAACTGGAAAGTTAAACTTTTTCACTTAACAATACATATTTCAAAGTATCATAGCATAACATTTTTTGAATAAATAGCCATTAACTTTTATTATAAAGGATGCATCTAAAATGCTTTTGACATATCCAGAGCTTTTGACATATCCAAAACTTGTTATCGGTTACACGAAAATGGAAAATTTTCAAGACCAATTGGTGACTGCATCCAAAGTAGAAGATCTTGAATTGTTACAAAAAATACGTCATTTAGCTTTCGTACATCGTTTATAAATCGTATAACGGCTGTAAAAATAAAAGAAAACATATTTTTTTAAATTGCACTTGTGATGCGTTCCTAATACGATTATAATTTTCAAAATCTTACCGCTTTTTCTCGACGGTTTGTTATCAAACCATATTGAATCTGTAAACATGGAAAACGGTTGCTTGTTGTCATCATAGTGAAGCTTAAAGTTAGTCATGATCATTTGATAGACGCTTTCTTCATCGTCTAAGTTAACACAATCACTCATAGTTGAGCCAAATTTTGCCCCTGACGCATCACATTGCCAAGTGACAATCGGAACCTCCCACAAACCTGGGTAGAAATCTGAAACAGAACAAGTGTTCTAATTTTCTTAATGCAGACTAACAAATATTTTTATAGTAGGCAACAAGAATGTTGCATTTTTTAAATTAACAAAATTAAACGAAATAAAAATAAAGTATTCAAGCGAAATACTTGTTGGACAGTTTTTCAAATAACAATTTAAAGAGGGCAAGTAGTCAAAAGTATACGGCCACCATCTTACTCCAGGAAATGTAACCAACGAGCTGTCGTACAAAAATCCGTTATCTGCTAAAATTCTAAACGTAGTTTCCGTGCTTTCGAGATATGGGTTACGCCAGCCTTTGGTAATCACACCCACTTCTGACTGTATTGCTTTCTGTTGGCCAACAATTTCGGATTCGAGTTCTGTAACAGTTGCCTTAAAAAGTAAAACATAAAAAATTATATATTTATTTTGAATAAATAATTGATAAATTGTTTAGTAAAACTAACAAAGTTGATTTATTTAAAAAACAAACGAACGAATCTATTCAAACATACATTTGCGCTCCACCACTCTGGAGGAACCCTTTGAGATACTGAGTGATCGGCAAGTTCATGTCCTGAAAAAGGTAAACAAATACAATATTTAATAATTTAAAATTAAAAAGTTTGAATAAGATTTTCTGAAAAAATATTACCGCTTTCGTAAAGCGTTTTTACTAAGGTGTAGTTGGCGTTATCTCCAGAAACAAAAAACGTGGCTTTAATTGGACACCCATTAAAATTGGTAACTCCTTCAAGCAAATCTTTGTAAAGCTGAACGTTTTGCGATGTAACACTGTCACCAAAGGTTAACAAGATAACTTGGGGCGTGTTATTTTTAAACAAACCACCTGGAATATCTGTTCCAGTGCACCTGCACGTTGGTAAACGACAAAGTATGGAGTTGCAAAAAGCTAAAAGACGCATTTTTAAAAATGCGTTACAAAATGTGCGTAAGTTTTTTAGTGAAAAGATTACCAAATAAAATATAGATCAAAACTAAGTTACCTTGACCATTTGAAGGTTGATCTGATTGGTAAACCGTCGTTGGAACAGCATTTGTGATATCGGTTGGTAGAACGTCGTCAGCTGCATTTAAATTATTTTCTATTGTTTGAGTGCTTATCAAACGCAAAACACCCAAAATATACGCTACTGGTAGCATTTGTTTAGTCATCTAAAAAACAACCTGATTTTAAACAGTTTGTTTTTAGGTAATAATAATAATAAAAATAAAAAATCAAGCAAAATTGCTTACCCTAAAAAAATTGCTTACCTTAAAAAAATTTCTTGTTGCTATTGATCTGAGTAATAAACAATAGATTGGAAACTTTTCATCGAGCATTTATAGAATTTGCAACGGAAGCGCAATTTATGCGCAAACTATAGTCATTAAACAACTTGAGTAGTTGTTAAAATCGTTAACATCGGATGCATGTACTCATAGAAATTGTTAAAAAAGTAACAAATAGTATATAGAGTCTTGAATAAATCAACAGATTCCTCCGTTTTGATTTAAATAATAAAGAAATAATGAAGCAAAAATATATATTTGTTTAATTATTTTAGTTTGCCGTTAAAAAATATTTAGAATGTCTACATTTGTATTAAAAATAATGGCTGGAGCAAGAAGGCAAATATAGCCTTGTAGTCGAGCCCCATTTATATATATATATATATATATATATATATATATATATATATATATATATATATATATATATATATATATATATATATATATATATATATATATATATATATATATATATATATAATATACATATAAATATATATATATATATATATATATATATATATATATATATATATATATATATATATATATATATATAATATATATATATATAAATATATATATATATAATATATATATATATATAAATATATATATATTTATATATTTATATGTATATATATATATATATATATATATATATATATATATATGTATATATATATATATATATATATATATATATATATATATGTATATATATTTATATATATATATATACATATATATATATATATATATATATATATATATATATATAATATACATATAAATATATAAATATATATATATATATATATTTATATATATAAAATATATATATATAAATATATATATATAATATATATATATATATATAAATATATATATATAATATATATATATATATATATTTAGTATTTCTTAAGATTTATATGCTCTTTTCTTTTAAATAATGTAAATTTTGAAATAATCATGAGATAAACTATTTTTACATTTACACATAAAACAAAGAAAATTGAAAATATTCAGTTCTTACATACTAAAAACATCCATGTGGATTCAGAGAGGTTTGGCATGAGTAAAACGATCTCTAAAATTATTATGGTGTCCTACATGTTTTTGTTGACAATATAGAAGTTCATGTTTACTTTTATTTGTACTACCTCACGCAGAATTTACATAGTTTAGATCGCAATCGGTGAATGATTGATACAGTTGAGTTAAAGTGTGCTTATTTAGGATGTTTCTTGTTGTATATAATATTCCAATACTTTTTTTTTTTTTTTTTTGTTATTTAGGTGCTCTAAGAAGACATAACATGGTCTTATTCCAGAGCACCGCGGAAGTGCATTTAACCAGGAAGTTCACGCCTCCTTCCTTACCGTAACGCGAAAATATGTCCAAAGCTTGTTTCGAACCTGGATCTCCTGCATATCAAGCGTTCTAACGGTCGCAGCCGCTTTTTTTTCAAAACTGACTTTTTTTTCTTGGGGTACCACCTTATGATATATTGTCAATATTGATAAAACTAAATGAACACTTTTTTACCCAACATCCAGAAAAAAATGTTTACCAAATACACTGCCCGACCTCTTCATTGATAATACAATACTAAAGAGGGAAAAAGTTATAAAACTTCTCGGAGTTCTTGTAGACGAAAACTTATCCTGAAAACAACAAATCGATAATTTCTCCTTGAAAGTTGCTAAAAGTATTGGAATTATATATAAAGTTCGACATACTTTAAATAAACAACAATTAAAACAACCATATTATTCGTTTATCCACTAACATTTAAATTATGTAAATATTGTATGGGGAAGCGCGCACAAAACTAAACTTAAATCTCTTTATCAGCATCAGAAACACACAGCTCGCTTAATTAATTTGTAAATCGTTTTTCAAATTCAAAACCACTTCTGAGAGAAATGAAAGCCTTAAATGTATACGAACTAAATGTTTATAATCTTTTATGTTTCATGTTTACATGTAAAAATCCTTTATCTCCTAATGTGTTTATAAAACTGTATAATGTAAAACCCATAAACAAATACAATCTTCGCAATGGAAAAAATCTACAAAAACCTTTCTGCCAAACTAAATTTGAACAACTAATTATTTCTTATTGCGGTCCTTATTTATGAAATAAAATAGTTTTGCCAAATTTTGATTTGTCAGTGAAATGGACTTTAACATCTTTCAAACGAAAATTAAAAAAATTATCTTTTCAGCAGAAAATATTTTTTATTGTTTTTAGTTCTTTTGTTTCACATATTTCATATAATTTTCACATGTTTCATATAATTTATCCATTATATTTATATTTTAAATGCACAGTTATATATAGTTTATGTTGATTCATTTTTATTGTTGAATTTGATTTTATTGTTATTATTATATTTGATATTGTAAAGGGCTTCATGATAAGATCGTATGATCTTCTGGAAGTCCTGCCGATTATATTTGTAATAAAGCTGTGCTGTAATTGTAATTTCTTTTATTAAAGGCAAATAATTTACAAAAAAAAAAAAAAAAAAAAAAAAAAAAAAAGATATTTGACTGCCCAAGTTTTCATTGTGCTTTTTTCCTGAGAGACTTTCATCAATATAAACGCCTCAAAATTTGCTGAAGCTTACTTCTTTTATTAGAAAATTGTTAATAAAAAGTCATAACATTTTATTTGGCAGTAAGTGTTTTTTAAAATGAGGGTGGAAGAAAATCTATTTGGTTTTATCGGATGACAGGAATAGAATCGAAAAATAAACTTCAGAATAGTGTCGAATATATTAAAAAGGTCTAATGTCGCAAAAAAAAAAGGAATAGTGTCGCAAATAACGAGTGGCATTCTTTACCTTCATTTTTTTTTCCCCTGTAAAAGCCGCATGCTATAAAGATAACGAAAACCAGTAAGCAATCGCTGAAATTAACAATTTGCGACACGATTCCGTTTTTACTGTTTGCAACACTATTCCTTTTTTTGTGTTTTCGACACTATTCATGAGACTCCTTTGTAACTTAGATATTTTATAAACCATTTTAGAATATTACCAGTTGTTCCATAATATTGTAATTTGTTTATAAGAATTTCAAGATCTATGGTAGCAAATACTTTTGCTAAATCTATGAAAACTCCCAAAGTTTATTTGGAATTTTCAAACGATTTAGTTATACTTCTTAAAAACTAGATAGCTGTATGTTCCGTAGAATTTTTCTCGAAACCAAATAAATTTTTTTTTTTTTATTAATTTTTTATTAATTTATAAGAATATTATTTGATAGGTGATTATAAATTTTATTATAAAAAATATTTTCTAAAACTTTTGAGAAAACGGAAATAATAGATAAAGGACGGTAATTGCTAATATTAGGTAAATCTTTTTCATGTAGTTTTTGCTATTTTAATTGATTAGGAAAAATTCCTTGTCTGATGGAACATGAAAACATCATAAATATGTTTTAAGACTTGAATTTATAACAATGTTTCCATTGATATCATCATGGCAACGGCTTTGTTTGTTTTGAGCATTTTAAAGCACATTCAAATTCATTAAAATTTAGCTCAAAGGAGCAAAGATGTGATGTTATGTTAAGAAATATATTTCAAAATTATCAGTCGGATAAATTTTTTTGGATAGGTTTGGGTAGATACAAAGTATTAGTTTAGCTCAGCCACTATGTTTTCCTGATTAACCAAAAACTCTTCGTTTATTTTAATAGTTTTGGGTAAAAACATTTTTGTTTTGGTTACTGCCTGTAATTTTTTTAATGGTTTTCTAAGTGTGTTTAGAATTTAATTTTACTAGTAAATTAATAAAGTATTTATACTTAAGATTTTTTCTTTGTCGCTTAAAGATTTTGGTGAAATTTTTGTAAATAGTTTTACTTTTCCATTGATTTTGATTTTGAATATTTAGTTAGTTTGTGTTATATTTTTATACATAACAAAGTCCTCACTTATGTAGAATCGCTAGCTCCAAAGCTTGACTTTTTGTTCAAAATTAGGCTTTGGTTTATTATTTAGAAAATAAACAACGATGTACCTGGTTTTGTAATTTTTTTTTTTGGCTCTTTTTTTTTTTTTGTCCCTACACGGTGAGTTCTATCAGTTTTTTTTTAACTTTAATTTTTTTTATTTTTTTTTTTTACTTTCCCAAGGCCATGAAGGCCACTAAAGTTGAGGAGCCTAATTAAATTGTGGCTACAACCCTCTCTCAACTCTCTATAACTCTAAAACACAAACCTTAAGCGTGGTACTATCAGGAACGTGGTAGAGATTAAACACGGAACATCTCACTTATGAGGCAAGCGATCTACCACTACACCACTTTATATTTTTGTATTTATTTTACAATTGCGGTTTACACATACATATACACACATTTAAAGTTAAACAGCTGTCGCAGCATACTCTAGATGCAGATGTGCATAAGTTGTATAGAGTTGTTTACATGATTGTTCTGAATAAAGGTTGGTTTAGTGATTTTAGTGATATGTTGATGTAATTATAGGCTGTTAATGATTTTTACAGATCTTGTATCTAAACTTATTTCAAAGTGTATATCCACCCTTTTATCCACTTAATTTTCAGGAAGTTCAAATCACCGGTAATGATTAGGTCAAAATGATATCATATCTATAGTTAGAAATAGATATTGAAAGTTTCAGAAGATTGTTCTCAATTGATAATATCTTTTTGAGTAACGCCCATATAACAAACAGAATCTCCGCGGATAACATTTTTTTTTTTTTTTGAATTTTTATTTAGGTGCCCCAAGAAGTCCTTGTAGTCTTATCACAGCACCGGGGATAAACATTTAATTAGAAGTTCACGCCTCCTTCCTAACCGATATCGCAAAACTTGCCCAAAGGTGGGG